CAGCTCCTCCCTCTTCCTCCCCCTCCCATCCCTTCCATGCAAGGCCCCACCCCACCACCTGCCCTCTATGTGTTCGAGAGGCTCTGCAGTCCATGAGAACACATGGCCCTGTTCCCCACGCGTGGGGATCACCAGCAGGGGCAGACCCCACACTGCCCTGGACGCAGGGCGCTCCCCCGATGCCCAGCAGTGACCACAGCCCTCACGGCTGCCCACAAGGCATGGATGTGGGGCTGAGCCTTGCCGGCTCGGTGTGGGCAGGCCCCACTGCCGTGCTCGACCCATGGGACCTGGGGTCAGACATCCTGCCATGTCACCTACTGCCATATTGGAAGACACAGGCCCGGGGCCCCACGGCGGCTGGGCTGGGTCCCAAGGGTGTCTGTTCAGAGTGAGTTCAAAGAAAGCACCAAGCTCACAGGGCCTGGGCAGGGCTGGAACTGAGTAGATGGGGGCTGTGGGCTGGACCGAACACCTCCCGGCAGAGCAAGGGCAGAGGGGCCTGGGCTGCAGCCTGGCACCCAGGGGGCCCACGCACAGGTCCCAGGGCAGGCCAGGAGGGAGCAGGGCCGGGTGGCACCCTCACTCCAAGAGAGGGCAGGTTCTGGGGCTCGGGGAGCTGCCCAGTGCTCAGCTGGCCTCAAGGCCACCTTCCCCTGCCCGGCTGATACCCCATCCCTGTCTGGGTGGCCCTGCCTGGCCCATGCAGTGGGGGCTTCTGGGCCGGGAGGCAGACATGCTGGGGGTCCCAGCCGCTCCCTGGTGCTCTCCTAAGTCTGGACAACACTCTCAACCCCCTGGGCTCAAGGGCACCTTGTGCAAAGAGCCAAACTCAGGCCCACTGGTCTCCCAGCCGGGCCTGAGTGGCCACGGGTGCGGGGAGCAGAGGACGGACTCTGACCGACAGCTGGGCCCAGGGTCTGCATCGGAGGGCAGGGGACCTCCCTGGGAGTCCCGGGAGGGGAGGCCTGACTCTGGGAGCTTGGAAGCGATGGAGAGAAGGAGGGAACCCTTGAGAGATGTCAGGAGGGAGGGCCTGGGAGGGCCTGGGAAGGCGGGCCCCAGCGGAGGAGGCGTGCGTGGGGTGAGGCCTGAGAGCCCAGGGCACGGCAGGCACATCTCAGCCCGGTGCCGGGCTGGCAGGTCGGCCGAGGCTCCAGCCTCAGCCCAGGGCCCTGTGGGGAGCCAGCGTGCGTGGCCCTCGGCCTAGCCTCTGAGACCCCCACGAGGAGCCGCTCCACACGGTAGTGCCCAGAGGACCAGGAGTGGGCAGAGCAGAGCCAGCCAAGGGCGCCGGGCAGTGTCGGGCAGACACAGAGAGGGTGCGGGTGGAGAGGCTCTGCCTGCCAAAGGTCAGGGGCACAGGGTGGGTGTGAGAACGGGGGTCTGGCTGGGGAGGGTGGAGGCACCGGACACACCAAGAGCTGAGGGCTGGCAGCCCAGGTGACCCGAGCGGGCCACGCCTCCTCCTCTGTGGTAGGGGTAAGAGGGGCACAGGCTTGAGCAAAGTTACACAGGCCCTGTGTGTCCATTGCCCCACCCTCCCCACTGGCTGGGCAGACAGGGAAACTGAGGCTCAGAGAGGGCAGGTGAGCGGCCCAAGGTTGCCATGTTCTGCTGAGCAGGACCCAGGCAGAGGAGGCCTGGAGGAGGGCTCCTTGACTCCCACCCCCCGTGACGGCACCCACACCCACTCCCTCCCACGAGGCCGGGGGCCCGCTCGTCGGCAGCTTCTCATGGCCTCCTCCCGGACCCCCAGGAGGACCCCTGAAGACCCCCTGAGACCCCAGTGGGGACCTCGCTGCCTGGTGAACCCAGGAGGGCTGGTGCTGTGGACGCAGACGCCATTCCCTGGCCCCGGCCCACCCTGCCTGCCACACAGACCCCGATGCCCCCACACCAACACCAGAGCCGGGCAAGAGGGCCGATACGGGCGACAGCCGGGGCCGTGGGTGCGGGTCTCCTGAGGATCCCACCACCCGCGTCACTCCCACCCGCGGGCCTCCCGAGCCATCCCCGGAGCCATGCCTGCTGTTCACCAGCCCCGACAAAGCCCCTCTGTACTCACTGGCAGTCGGCAAACGTGGGCCGGTAGTAGAAGGAGGGCACTTTGGACTCGAACGTGGCTCTGGCGGCGTCGTTCCCGTGGGAGGCCATGAACTGCAAAAGAGAAGCCAGGTCAGAGACCGGAGTCCCAGGCCCGGGAGGGCGCCCACCACCCCTGAGTCCCCAGCACAGGGCTGGTGGACCCGAGCTCGGCCAGTGCCAGGCTGGGGTCCCCAGACCCCTCCTGCCCCGGACGCCATTTCCGAGTGACAGCCCTCACTCACAGGACAGGAGCCCGTGTCCCGAAAGAGCAAGGCTGTGGCCAAGCGCCCGAGAGCACACCCTCCTGAGGCCGCACCCGGGTCTGCCCTCCGCGTCTCAACCCTGGGCCGGCCCCACGCTGGGAGGACGCCCCGAGACACCCCCGCTCCTCACGAGTCATCCTTCCAACTCAGATTTAGGCACAAGGGCCTGAGCAAAGACGGAAGAGCGGGTGGCCAGACTCGGCACAGTGGAGCCTCGAGGCAGACGGTGCCGGAGCCAAGAATACTCTAGAAAATGCTAAGAAAGAAACGGGCGCAGTGAAGGCATGGAGGCTGGCTGACACAGGGTGACCCGGAGGCTCTTGAGGAGGCCAGTCACACACAGGGGGTCCTGATGGGGGAAACGGTGGCTGCCAAGGCCCTGGGGCTGGACCGCGCCGGGGTGCTGGGATGATGCCACGGCCAGCTCCTGACACATCGCATCCCAGCCTCAAGGACCAGGGAGGGACTTGGGTCAGCTGGATTCTACGGCCCAGGGCGGCCTGTTTGCTCCCGAAACGCCCCCTCCCGAGGCTGCCCGCCAGGTCCACCCAGACAGTCACTGTGCTTTGAGGACTGTTGATCATAAACATGGGGAACCCGAGAAGATCAACTAGAAAGCCACAAGCAACGAGGCAATTTGCAAGCAGCTGGCACCAAAGTCAACCCTCGAAAGGCTTTCCCATATAAAACTACAGTCTGTTAGGAGATGTCAGAGAAGGAAAGACCCGATTTACGATGGCAACCAGACAAACGCCAGGGAGGCAGTGGAGTAAGAAATGCCCAAAGGCTCTGGAGATGTACACTCTCTGAAGGATGCAAAAGAGACCTCAAACAAAGACACAGGGAGATAGAAAAATGTTGTCTTCTTATGTGAGTCTGTGTATTTTTTACAATGCATCAAAAAATTGCAATAGAATTTTTTTAAACTAAAAAATGGTTCTAAGGTTCATTTTTTAAAAATAACAAGCAAAAATATCCTAGGGAATTCTGAAAATGAAGACTCTTTGTACCGGATCTTTTATTTTTTTTGGAGTTGGAGTCTCACTCTGTCGCCCAGACTGGAGGGCAGTGGCCACTCCCGGCCACCGCAGCCTCAACCTGCTGGACTCTGGCGATCCTTTCACCTCAGCCTTCCGAGTAGCTGGAATTACAGGCGCATGCTGCCACGCCCAGCTAATTTTTTTATTTTATTGTAGAGATGAGGTCTCGCCTGCCCCGGTGGGTCTTGAACCTGCGGGTTCAGGCAATCCACTCACCTCAGCCTCCCAAAGGCGTGGGATTACAGGCTGAGCCACCGAGCCCG